GGGCATAATATGACTCCTTTAAGTGTCCTGTTTTTGACGTTGCAGCTCCAGGCAAAGATTGGCTCTCTGACAGACGACCTGCTGAAGGTGGAGCAGAAGAAGAGGAAGCTGGAGGAGAGTCAGGACTCTCTGATGGAGGAGGTCGCCAAACTCCATGCTCAAGGTAACACACTGTCGCCATGGTTACAGGTAACACTGCTCTCTAATTGGCTGGCAGTAGAGATAATCGCAGTTTGTTGTGTATGTGTTCAGGTCAGATGCATGAGGTGACGGTGATGGACAAAGAAAAGGAACACATGAGCCGACTGAAAGATGCAGTTGAGATGAAGGTAACTGATGAGAGTTCTACAGAAAGAGAATGTGGTTCTAACTGATCTTATGACTGATCACATGCTTAACCATCATTTGACACATAGTTGATTTTATTCTGTATTTTTATTTTATAAACCAACAATGTGTTAAATCTGGAGTTACACAGAGGTCAAGTTTAAGTCCTTTATTGTTCCTGATTTAGATCAATGATCTACCTAATGTTTGTAAACTGATATCTAATATTTGATCTTTACTTAATATCCTCACTGTTGTTCTAAGTGACTTAAAGTCTGTTGGCAGACTCAAACCAACACTGAAAAAAAAAGTGAGTTAAGTCCAGTTCAGTCCAAACATTCACTACATAATTTGTCGCGTCCTAGAATATGAATGAAAACAGTAGGGACAGTAAGATTTTCCTATTTGATTAGTAGTCGTTAGTTAAAGCAGTCGACTAGGCGAAAAAGCGGTAATGATTGTAAATCAGAACAAGCAGCAAGGAGACGAACCTTAGGTTCATTTATTCCAGCACAGTGTCAACATCACACAGTCTTGGTTGTTCTTCCAACTTCACTGAAACTAATCCTGGCTGATCGATACGATGGATGATGGATAACGTTAACAGTTACTGACTAATTAACTGGCTACAAACTGGCTCCTCTTCCTCCGTTTCATTCCTCTCCTGTTGCTGCCTGAACCCACCGGGTCTTCATCCCCCGAGTCAGAGTCCTGGTTGGAGTTCTGATGCTCATTCGGGCCCCGCTCCGGTTCTGTGGCTCATTCGGGCTCGGCTCCCTGGCAGTATTCCCTGCTAGGTCCCTCTGCTGCTACGCTAGTAGTGTTTAAACTCCCCCTGTCCTTCAGTCCGGGTACAGACAGCTAATAGGACAGTTAGCATATGCAGCAGTGCAGCGGTAAGAGACTTCCTGTGTTACAAGAGAAAAGGTCCGTGTTGCAACAATCCTCTGATACTTTGGTCCCGGTGACAAGACGCAGCTCCTGAATGCAGTTTAACGTTGGTTTAGTTTTTCTGCGATTGACTGATGGAAAGTGCGTCAATTAAATATCTTCTCATCGACTTTTAGACTATAAAGGAAGACAGCTCTAAATTTTATGCACCAAAATGAGTAAACCTACATCTGACTCTGATTTAAACTGTCGACTGCAACCAAAACACATAAATATGTAATTTTAAATCAAATAAATTGAACTTGATTTTTTGTTTTTAAGGAAAAACACATTTATTTTTATTTTGTTGATGAAAAGAAAGAAAATGGAGACGAACATGCAGCCCACTCTCTCTCTCTGCAGGTACGTCCACAACCACAACACCTACACCAACAACGAGAACTGTTCCTCGCCGTCATGGCAACGGCAGCACGAGCCGCGGACCTTCGGGGTCTACCTCAACAACACCGGATACAGGACAGGTACACACACACACACACACACACACACAGAGAGGCTTTTATTACTGCTGTGATCTGACTGTTTACCTGTGTGTGTGTGTGTGTGTGTCTCCAGCCTTTTTCGGGAAGTACCTGAACGAGTACAACGGCTCATACGTCCCCTCCGGGTGGAGGGAGTGGCTCGGTTTGGTGAAGAACAGCCGCTTCTACAACTACACACTGAGCCGCAACGGAGTCCGAGAGAAACACGGAGCTCAGTACCCACAGGCAGGGACACACAACACACAGTACACAACAACAACAACTACAACAATAACAACAACAACAGTTCACACAACAGGAAGAAAAAGCACATTTCCGCCAATGTGACGGGAAAAAAGGATTCTGTTGATGAGTTAAAGAGAATTATTATTATTGTTTTTATTATTATTGGAGAGCCGATTGGAGTTTATTGAATTTACTGAAAATGTATACATTTTTCTATAATTAGTATCAGGTTATTTGGTTATTTCCAGGAAACTAATTGAAACATTATTAAGAAATTATTCATAAATCAGGAATATAAAGAGATATATTATTATATAATGACTCAACGTTCACATACATTTGTTTCAGTACATTAAATTTGAGGAAAATAAAATAATGATATGTCTGTGTCACCAGGACTATCTGACCGACCTGATCACAGCCGAGTCCATCCGCTACTTCCGCTCCTCGAAGCGAGTTTACCCTCACCGACCGGTGCTGATGGTCCTGAGCCACGCTGCGCCGCACGGGCCCGAAGACTCCGCGCCGCAGTACAGCACGGCGTTTCCCAATGCATCACAGCACATGTAGGCCCACACACACACACACACACACACACACAGTTAGACTAAGCTGCTGTAATCCAGCTGAACAATGGAGCCGCTCCAACACTGCAGGATAAATCCTCCATAATGTATGTTAATGAATACACGGGTCTTATTTCATTTCTGTACAAAAAACTTTAATTTCTCACTGAAAACGTGACTCAGCAGTTAAAGTCAGTCTGTCTCAGAGACACATCTGTCTGTCTGCCTGTCTGTCTGTTTATGAGCGGACAGACAGGTCAGACGGAGACGTCACAGCGGTGTCAGACCATCTTTTACTGATATATAAACAGACGGCGGAGGAAACGCTGGCTGCACTCCCGCCGTCAGGAGAACATTTAAATCCCATTCAAAGCTCGCCAGAAAACCCACTGCTGAAATACTGGGAACAGACAGTAATCCCTAATTCCTCTGAAAGGAATAATTCAACAAAGTCGCTGTAGAACGACGTGCTGATAAAAGCCAAATCACTGAAAAGTGGAGTATCGACTGGAAACAGATTTAAACTGTATGAACAGGACAGAAAATCAACCATCAGGCTGTGATTTACTTTAATAATACACAATATTTTGTCTGTTTGAATTCATTTTTTTTCCCGTTTTTTTAGGCTTTTTGTGGCCGTTGGTCAGTTCAGAAAATCTGGATGAAATAATCTGTTTTCTTTTCCCCCAAAAGTAATGGAACAGGAATTCAGTAAATAAAGACAAAACAACTCTTCAGCAGGGTTTGGAGTAAAGGTTCAGGTGGAGATATTGTCCTCTAAAAAACAGACGGATCAATAATAATAATCATAATCACGTTTTGCTAAATTTTCTGTTTTTTTACATGAATATGAAAGACGTTAAAGGCAGAGTTAGATGTTAGCAGACTCCATTTATAAGCTAACGTTAGCACAAACGTCACATCCTTTGACCCTTGTCCCTACATAGAAACATATAGAAATCAGTCCACAGGCAGCAGAGGAAGTCGTAATCTTTGTAGATGTGTTCTGGAAAAAGTCTGACGCGTTGCATTTGGAACAATAAACCAAAACTTTTAATTCGGTTCCCACATTGTACAGAAACTAAGAAGCCAAGGCGAGTTTATTTATATCGGCCATTATGCACACAAAGGCAATTCAAGGTCTTTACATAATGTATAAGAGGCATTAAATAAGGATACGGCACAAAACATTTATACAGAAATTAAAAATTCAAACAACTCTAACAGTCACACTCGCTGCACCGCGAGGATAAAAACAAACATAGAGGAAACTAGAGAGACAGTAAATATAACGGACAGTCTTAAACCTGCATTCTGTGTAACAACCAGCAGGGGGGGCAGCTCCACTGACTGCAATAAAAGACAGATA